AGTAGTAGTAGTAGTAGTTGTAGTTGTTGTTGTAGTAGTAGTTGTTTTAGTAGTTGTAGTAGCAGCAGTAGTAGCAGTAGTAGTAGTTGTTTTAGTAGTTGTAGTAGCAGCAGTAGTAGTTGTAGATGTAGTAGTAGTAGTAGTAATAATTGTAGATGTAGTAGTAGTAGTAGTTGTAGTTGTTGTAGTAGCAGTAGTAGTAGTAGCAGTAGTTGTAGTAGTAGTATTATCATTATTATTAGGCTATTAATAAGTAAATCCGCCAACAACCCAACTGAACAGGATCAATATAAGTCATTGATTTTAAGGTAGCAGTGGTAGTAGTTGTAGTAGTAGTAACAGTAGTTGAAGTATCATTATTATTATGTAAGATTTTTTTTTGTTAACTGGTAAAACTACCAACAGCTTTTTTTGAGGTGGGGTCATGTACTTTCATACAAATATACTTTAACACAGAATTGTAATTCTCCAGGTATCAGAATGAGAAATAACCGGTGGCCCACTGCAGCTTCTGTGCTATTATCACCACAGGGCGTTTTTTTACCATTGGTGTTTTAAAGAATGGATTATTAACTGTGAGAATTTAAATGCATAACCCATTATGACGGATATTTTTAGAATCCAGCTGTCCAGATTATGCTCTTTTTTAAATCTGCATTGAGCAGATTTTAAAAGCAGAACAAAGCTGCCGTCATCTGAGTAAGGAAGTTGGCGTCTGTGCAGTTCTCAGGCGTTCTTTCATTATTTCATGCTGAGAACCTGCAGGTAGCTGAGATTTATACAGCACACCCTTGTTAGCACACTATTACAGAGGTTGGATGTCAGAGACCCCCAAGTTTTTCTTGGCATCTGTATGTGGGAGTCAAACCTTTGATCGATAGTGTACTCTGAAACTTCCTCATTTCTTCTTCTCACCTTTGCTACAAAGCTCACGTTAGAAATCTTTTCGTGCTAATGGACTCTCAGACTGTAGCTGCCGCATCAACACAGAGCTGCCACAGCGAGAGACTACGAGCTTTTCATGGTCTAAAAATATCTAGAATCAGAGGTGTGGTGTCCACGTGAGATTTAAAGAAACTCATTCATGTCTCATCTCCAGCAGGGTGCAATGCTCTCCTCTTCTTCATCTCCCCAAAAAAGACGACTGCACTGTGACAACTGTGTAGCTGCAGTAATGAGCAGAAGACGGAGCACATCACACCAGCTCTGAGCTATAGTTATAAAATTAGATTTTTAAAGTGCTTCTACCGGGTTTATAAATCGCATAACAGCCAAAGGCCAAAATATGTTTGATATGCTAGAAGAATATTAACCCAGTGGGTCCCTCAGATCTCGAGGAATCAGTTTCTCATGCCTCCAATCGCAAGCAAACACAGTAAAGGTTTATTTACCTGAAATGCTGCAAACACCGAGGAACACCTGATGATGATGAATTCAAACTTTGGCCACTTTCAAGCACTTTTTACTCCACTTACTTTCCAGTGCATCTCTCTTTACATTGTCATAAACTTATTTTGTAATTCTTATGGGAAACACTTTTATGACACAGCATGAGCTCAGAGTGATGTTTCTTCTATAGATATGCAGGTTTTCTAAATTAAGGGGGAAACCAGGACAAGACTATTTAAAGTAACAACAACAGAATTCATGAAAATTGAAAACCTATATTTTTCTCACTGGCTCCTGGCAGCAGATGAACATCCTTCCCCCTCAGCCTGAAGTGATTTCCATTTCACTCTCTGCCATCGGAGCTTCACATCTCTCCATGTGTCTCACCTCTCTTTGGAGAGAGTCCCCCCCCTCTGCTCTCCCTAATAAGCCGGGGCCAGTTTCCTTTGCCGACAGCTGTTCCAGATGGCATTATTACTCCACGCTCTCACTGGCACTTGGCTGAGGATCCACCACCAGCAGAGGAGGCTGCCCCTCGCCATGCCCATGCTTCAATATCAACTCCAGCAGATGACAGTGTTATGTAATGGTGAATCTGTTGGGTGATATGCTGCAGTGATCATCCATCACCTGCCTCTCCTCTCACAGACTTAGTTTTTTATGGCGATGCACTTTGACAGTGTTTATGTGGAGTGTGTACGTACAGAACGGAGCCGACAGATCCAGTGTTAAGTCGTCGGTAGAGGTGAGAAAACCTTGATGCTCTCAGCTCCCGCTGGACGGAAACAGCCTCAAGAAATAACTTGAAAGGCAACGAACAGGTTCAAACTTAAAGTTCAAAGCACCTGTGGTGAACGTGGGCAGAGGAGAGGAGAGGAGAGGAGAGACATGTTTCTTCAAGTTAACGTGTACTCTTGTATTTCTTGGTTTTACTCAATTAAACTAATAATTATTTGCTTTAAAATAATTTTTTAAATCGTAGGTGTGTTAGTTTGGATGTTGTGTGATGCAGCATTAAGTGGCTTAAAAAGTATAAACAATTCATTTATCATCTTTTGCATTTCACATTATCAGATTAAAATCTTGTGGCTACATCATCAGTCCTGGGAACTTTGATTGTGTTTTCTTTATTTCAGTATTGGTTATAGTCACCAGCGGCTCGCCACAGTCTGGTGCACTCGCTTCTTTCCAACCCCCCATCGTAAAACTGTAAATACAGATGGACGACGTGTCTCCACTTCCTCCCATTGCACGAGAATGAAGCCAAAATATACTGGATGCCGGTGCGGCCATCTTGCTGTGGTGACGTCATTTTGATCGTGGTGTGGAGCCGTGGTTTTCAGGTCCCATCAACGTCCCGTCCACTAACATGACGGAGGCAGGGTTCATGATCTATACTGCAGCCAGCGGTCCAGATGATTTGGCTTCACTCTTGAGGAGCTGTCATGTCGACCACTGATGAGACTCTACACTACACAGATTTCTTTTCATTTTGAAACTCGTCAGGTTTTAATTGTCTTCATAATGAATGACGTAAACTTGTAAACTGTCTTTTCACAGTGCAGGAGATTCTGGCCTGTTCACGCATGCTCACGTTCAAATGTCTCTAATCTAAGAAATACTGAGTGTGTGTGTGTGTGTGTGTGTGTGTGAGACAGGGGCAAAGGTAAAGTGTGTGTTTGACGTTAGCGTGCATGTTATCCTCTGCCAGTCTCTTCATAAACCCTTCTGTCGCTTTCTTTGAACGACCAACCGCTGTTCGCTGAATCCAACCCCTCCATCGCACCCGACACGTGCAACCACCCTTCCCCTCCGCCCGCCCAACAACATGACACATACACATTCACACCCACTCTTGTGCCCTGATACGCTGCGGCACTGATTAGCAAATGCATGTAGAGAATAAACATCAGACCATACATCTGTGAGCAACACACACACAAATACACACATACAGACGTCACGCTCCTCGGTTGGGGCTTACTCTATTGGCTGGTCTTAACTGCTTTGTAGTATTTTTAGGTCTGATATTCTGGGGCCTGTCCTGGCAGGCCACTAGGAGAGTATATAAGCCTCCCCCCTGCATGTGGGGACCACTGAGAACACACAGTGGAAACATCTCTGCCCGACACTCCAGCAAACATCCAGCAGGCATTTCCAATCCTCTCAGGGTAAGTGAAGCCTCAGCGACTTTTAGGGATGTGGAGACGGTTCAAACTACCTCCACGGGCTTTACCCACCTTTTCAGTATAAATCTGATAAATCAGCTTTTAGAAGTGTGTTAAGTGATTACAAACACTGGAGGAAGTATTTGTGGTGCAAGACGGTAAAAATTACATGTGACATGAAGTATTATTCTGTAAAAGAAATTGCTTTTATTTGTCGTTTAGCTTGGACGTACTTCATCATGAAGGGAGGGGGGTCCTTCTAGTCTCCTTCGTGGCCGTCACTTGAGTTGCACTCTAGGAAGGTCAGAGGTCAGGGTCAGCTGCAGCTGGGAGCTGATAGGACTTAGTGGTCTGCTGAAGGACACTTGAGCTGCGTGAATACTTGTCAGCGGCCCTGGGTCATGTGGTCGAAGGACGGTTCGTGTCTCCGCTCTGATTTTTCAACAGGTTACTAAGTTTCAGTCAAAAATATGTGTTTACAAGTGTTGCTTAGTTTTGAGACATGTTGAATATGATCATCACACAGGAAGTCATGAGGTCAAATGAAAGCAGTGGAGGCTTTGACTTTCTTTATGCTGAGACAGTGACTAACGAGTCCAACCTTTGCGTTCATTACGGTCATGAATAGACATGATATAATTGCCACTTCATCACTGTCTTACGCTGAAAGTACTGTATGGAATATACTTTCTGCCTCCCTCGGTGCCTCGTGTGCATCGCTGCCATGGTTCATTGTGATGGGTTGGCACAGCAGCCACGTGTCTCATTTTAAGCCACTGAACAAAGCACCGAAGCCGTACCTGCTCACAGGATTAAGCTAAAAATAGCAGAGAGAAAATGGATACTGTCTTTTGAACAGTTTGTCTTTTCTCTGGCTACAGGACGCCATGCTTCCAGCATAATGTCGGCTGAAGTTGCGATTCAGAAGTTCTCCTTCCCCTTCTCCTGTGCTGCGCGTCTTTCTCTGCAAGATGAGGTGACCCAGAAGGGATGTGTGCAGGTGAAGGCCCTGCAGCTTCATGACCTCCAGGAGAATCCGGCGTTAAGCAAACCAAGCTCTGATCCAGTTATAGTAACTCCAGTGCATAAGAAACATCAGGAGCCTGGAGGACACGTGGCCGCTGCCCGGGTCCTGGTCTGTGCCGAAGCTTCCCAGAATGCTGTGCTCTCCGGGCGAAGCGTCTTTGAGAAACTGATTGTGGAGAATGAGGATCAACGTCCTGCGGCCAAGAGACAGCTGTCGTGTGAGAGCGCGGCCAAGACCATCAGTGTGGTGAAGAAGAGCGCGGTGAGGAAGGAGGCCGAGGAGCAGAGACACCTGAAGCCGAAAACACACCTGGGACAGAAGGTGACGCCGCACGTGGCAGCAACAGGGAGGAGGAAGCGTCGCAAAGACCTGTTCGTCAACTCTGAGGTTTTCCACAGAGTTGATGCTCATGTTATCAGAGCAGGAGCTGAGGTGAGGACACGTCAACACAACATTCACCTGCTTTTTAATACTCATTAATAAATCGGACTTTTTAACTAACGAGGAAATGCTTTCTCTTTTAGTGCATGAACACAGCGTGGTATCTGTAGTCGGTCTGAGAAGCGATTGTTTCGATTGTTGCGACGGAGAAACCACACAAGCTAGCAAAACAAATCTTGTTTCACGTCATACTCAACATTTTTACTTAATGCTTCAGAAGGAAAAGGAAATCTTCCTCCTCTCATGTTTGGCCCTAATACTCCTCACAGCACAAAGCCACATGAGCCGAACAAAACCAAACCACAACAGACTCGGTTCTTTGTGTGCAGCTCTGCAGGATAAATATATAAAACCATAACAAACAGCACAGCTCACATCCTTGAATATGGAGGGGTCGATCAATACACTGAGTGACACTGAGGAACTCTGGAAAATAGGATGATGCTGTAAGATGATGAGAAAAAAAACATCTTATCTAACAGAATATCTTTTGTGTGTGTGTGTGTGTTGCAGCTGAAGGAAAAGTGTGTACATGATGTGAAGACAATCGTACAGAGCATCACACAGGGAGTCAGGACGGAGCTGGAGAGGCTTCGTGCCATCTGGGTCTGGCTGTGCCACAACATCGGTGCGTTTACTGAACTACATAAATATGCACATAAATCCCGTCATTCTGTAATTTGCAATTTTAGGATTTTAGGATTAGTCGTCCTTTGTGTGTCAGAGCAGATATTAAAACCTTGTAGTCAAAGGAATGTTGTGTTCGCAGAGTACGACGTGAACGGGTACCTCGGCCGCTCAGAGAAGTTGAGTTCCCCAGAGGAGGTGATCGCGGCCGGTCGGGGCGTCTGCTGCGGCTACTCCAGCCTCTGTACAGAGATGTGCAGGTAAACACCGCAAAACTTTTATATTATATAAAGATATAGCATATTACTGGTGACCATTCATCAGCCCCAACAAATGACTGTTGTGTCCGTGAAGTTTAAGGACACTGGACGTAACAGAAAAGGTTGTGATTGCTGGGTTTGGGTTGTGTTTACAGAGAGGTGGGTATCGAGTGCCAAGAGGTGCCCGGCCACAGTAAGGGCATCGGGTACCGTCAGGGCCAGAGCCTCAACAATGTGAAATCGGATCACCTGTGGAACGCCGTGCTTCTCGGGGGACAGTGGTTCCTGTTGGACGCCTGTTGGGGAGCGGGACGAGTGGATATGGAACACGAGAGCTTCGTCAAAAGGTTTGAAAAGAGGAAGAGGGATTAAAACCAAATGTAGACGAAAATATTTCTGTGTCGTAATAAAACTAAACTTCAAGTCTGATCTGAACCGTTGACTTCTGGCAGAAAGTTAATGTTGAAACCATCAGTTCGACCTTTTGTTTATGTTCATACGCCTGAAACCAGCAGAGAGTTGAGCCTCAAACCAGCCGTCTCCCTCCATCTGTTCCCCCCAAGGTTCGATGAGTTCTATTTCCTCACGGACCCAGAGGAGTTCATCGAGTCGCACTTCCCCGATGAGGAGAAATGGCAGCTCCTGGAGACGCCCATACCCCTGGAGGAGTTTGAGAGGAGGGTCTTCAAGACCTCGGCCTTCTTCACCATGGGGCTCAGACTGATTCAGCCTCATCACTTCCACATGGTCACAGGTCTGCCCTCAGTTCTGTTGAGTTTACAAACCAACACGGCTTCAAACAAATCCTCTTTTTCTGTGTTTCCAGTGAAATGATTAAAATCATCTCTCCCCTGTAGACGGAGGTGAGGCGAACGTGTCCCTCGGCTTCTCCAGACCTGCTACCTTCACCTATGAGATCACTCAGCACCAGGACCTCCTCCACTGTGGAGCGTCAGAGCAGAAAGACTCCGGCAACTCGTCCTTCGGCCTCCTGACCGTCTCCCATCGAAACATGAAGCTGCAGCTCCTGCCTCCTGCCAGCGGCACATACGACGTGAAGGTGTTTGCCAGACCCGAAGCAGCCGTCACACCTCTGACGTGGGTCTGCTCCTTCACAGTCGAGTGTCAGACCCCCCGGGCCAGGGAGGAGATCCCAGAGAATCCCTTCTTGTCCTGGGGCCTGCAGCCTGTCGCCGGGTCTCTGGGCATCACAGGCAGCAGCCAGGGCAGCGAGGTGGCTGAGGTGGAAGACGGCGTCTTTGAGCTGGTGTTGAAGACATCCAGGCCTCTGATGGTGCTGTGTGAACTGGTTCATCCAGAGCTGGAAGCTGCTGTAGCCAAGCGCTGCCTGGCTACTCAGATTCAGCCGGATGCTCTGACCTGCCACGTCCTGTGTTCGTTACGTGGCTTCTACCGCCTGTCGGTGTTTGTGCGGGACTACGAGAAAACAGAGGTCAAGTTCCAGAACGCCGCAAACATCCTGTTACACTGCAAAGGGAAGGTGGTCGGACTGGATGAGCTCTTCCCTCCGAACTTGGGCTCTGTGTGCGGTCCCGGGACCCGCACGTCGGAGGCGGGGCTGTCCAAATTCAGCCATACGGCGGCGTTGGTGAGCACACAGCAGGGCAAGTGTAACATCACCTTCCACAACCAGCGGGACCTCGAGCTTCACACGGTGCTCAGCAGAGAAGAGACGAAAACAGCAGCTATTCCACTTTCACGCCACCTTTTCTGCACGTACACAGACAGCAAGGTGACGGTGAGCGTCAGCCTCCCTGACGCCGGGGTGTATCGGCTGGGCCTGTACGCCAGGACCGCCCCTGGTGGAGATTTCAACCCCATGTGTGACTTTGTTCTGAGGAACAGCTGCGATCAGCCGGGGCCTCCGTTCCCCTGCGTCTACTCAGCCTGGAGGAAAGGCTGCGTGCTCTTTGAGCCCCGCGTGGGCCTGCTGGAGCCCCTCTCCTGGGTCCGCTTCAGGGTGAGGGTCCCCGGGGCCCAGAAGGTGAGCGTGGTGGGAGAGACGCGAACTGATCTCAAACTGAACAAGAGCAGAGTCTGGGAGGGTGAGGTTTCCAGTGGAAACGGTCTCCAGCAACTGAAACTGGCGGCGTCCTCGGGGGAGTCCAGCGACATGGCTGTTCTAATGTCCTTCGACATCAAGCAGTTGGAGAGAGAAGCGTGAAATAAAAAGGCCGGAGGAAACCAGATGGACACTTTCTGAATATAGCTGTTCACTGCCTTGTGAAGATTCTGATACGGACTAATACAAATCACTGTGAGACACAATCTTTCAGGTTTTTACTGCCACTCATACGTAGGTGTGTGGATTTTAACTCTGAGTCTTTGAACGTGTGTAATTTTGTAGAAACCTAACTTCTCTGTTTCCGGGGATCTTCAGAGAGCTGTGATCTGACCCAGGTATTGTTACGATTGACAGAGGTTCTCAGCCGTGGTGCTAAATGTCAAACACATCAGGAGTGTACTTGTGGGTAATTATGTTTTAAGTAAATATGTTTTATGAAATGATGTTTGTCAGCATGCTAATAAAAAATACTATAAAAGTATTGAAATATGAACGACTGATGATTTGTTTTCACAACATTAAAACACTTCCTGGATTGAATGAGTTCTTTTTTTGGCCCCGTATCATCTTTCCACCGAAATCTTATGGAAATCCGTTCAGTAGTTTTCTGCGTAATTCCGCTGACAAACAAACCGACCGACCGACAAACCATCAAACAGAAAAAAAAACCACGACATCAACTGAAAGTCTTTGTCTCATGCAGCTGGAAACAGTCGGACCCAGAGGACGGTTTGAGTCGTGCTCAAGGCCGGTGAAAGAATGAAACTGTGCCGCGGACTCACCGAGTGAAAGTGAACAGTGGAGTATTGTTGCCGTGACCCCGGTTCACTCAGGCTTTGGCACATGCCGGTGAGAGTGACGAGTGTTTACATGTGGCTGTCATAATAGCCCACAAATAGCCCAGGCTCACTGCCTCAGTAAAAATACGACAATGGTTGGGCGGGAAGGAGAAACAGGGCGGAGGAGGCGAAGCGGTAAGAGCGTATCTGCGCGGGGGAACGGGGGGGGGGGCGGAGGGGGGGCCTGCCGCCTTGAGTCGCTGGGGAGAAATTGGCGGCATAGTGATGATGGTGGGAGAGAGGCAAGGAAATGCTGATGTCAGAGGTCAGCCATTTGGAGGACACTATCTGCCTGGCAACAATACAAGGACACACA